TACACACATTTTTTGGGGGACATAATTCAATCCATGACAGCGGGACTGGTAAATGGGAGAATGTTTTGCCTAGATGCATTCATATTCCTTAAAGGCTCTGCTAGCCAAACAAAATGCATCCGCTGGCCAGATCCAGCTGCCCAGGAGTGTGAGATCCTTGGTATACATAACCTCAGGGGCCCTTTCTGCTCTGAACGGTGCAGGGCTCATCTTGAGACTCCACACCTGCCTTATGTTCAGGTTTCTCCTTCTCCTCCTGTCTTCCTACACGGTGATGTTTCTGCAGGTTCTGCCTCTGGAGAACAATATGAAGGACGCCCGCCGCTTCCCGGCCATCCTGTCTTTGGGAATGTTCATCATCACTACCCTGTATGTCGTCATCGGGGCTCTGGGGTACCTGAAGTTTGGAGACGACATCAAGGCCAGCATAACCCTCAACCTGCCCAACTGCTGGTACCTACACAGGCTCTCAGGCAGAGGGATGCTGGGCTCGGTGGGGACGTGTATTATAGTTTGTGGGGCCCTGGTGGAGCAGTGGTTAAGCATTTGGCTGCTAAGCAAAAAATGAGAATTTCAAACAATGGGTGGGATTTGGACAGATGGAAATAGAGTAGCGAGGGCATTCCAGGCAGCAGTACAAGTGTGAGCAAAAAACACAGAAATGTGCCATTTGGCCTTTTTAAGGAATGGCCTAACACCCCCTTCCTGCCCCCCTCCCCAGCTTTATTAAACACAGAAGATGCATTCACCTCATTAATAAACTAAAGCGGACAACTCTTATCTGGATAGGTCAAAAAGGGCTTTGATAAAACTCAACGACCCCCAAAACCTCACACTCTCACCGCCCCTAGCTAGAGGCCTATAAGCAACCCTTTCTCTCTCCTTTTACCCCCATCTCCCCACATACCCTATTTATAGATGGTCTCTTCTCCCAAAGGATTTGGAATTCTTCAGTTCTCTCTCTCAACCAGCTGGAAGCATTTGTTGAGGCCCTGTTATATGCCAAGAGCTTTGGGGATCCAAAGAATTCTTAAGCACTGACAGAGAGTCTTACAGACCCAGGATTTTGGCCTTAGCCACTCATCACCTATGTCTCCCTGGGCAAGGCACCCGACCTGAGCCTCTCTTTCCTAAAGTAAAAAATTGAACATCAACTGATAGTGGTTTTTGAAGGTGCTATGCGTAGCCATTCATGGCGACCCCACGTGTTACAGAGTAGAACTGCTCCACAGGGTTTTCTTGGCTGTAATCTTTAGGGAAGCAGATCATCAGGCCTTTCTTCTGCAGAGCAGCTGGGTGGGTTCTAACTGCCAACCTTTAGGTTAGTAGTACAGTGAGTGGTCAAGTACAAACCGTTTGCACCACCCAGGTACCTATGGGTACATATGGGGGTCACCATGAGTCTGAATTAACTCGAAGGCAATGGGTTTGTTCTTTGTGGTTTTGGCTTTTATGCATATTCACGCCCTAGATTCTTTATTTAGAGATGACCCTTTCAACTGTTTCCATTTAAATCCACAATTCTTCACTCTATTCTCACTGCATGCATTGGTGTGACTCCCTCTTGACTCTTAGGAGGTCACTTACCATCATTTTCAGATAGAATAAGAGAGGCACAAGGGATTGTCCCAAGATCACAGGTCAGTGTCCCAAAGAGGCCCAGCATCAGAGCACAGTAGCCTAAGAAAGCATTGCTCTGCTTTGTCCTGCAGGTTGTACCAGTCGGTCAAGCTCCTCTATATCGTTGGCATCCTGTGCACCTACTCCCTGCAGTTCTACGTCCCTGCAGAAATCATCATCCCTTTCATCCTCTCCCGAGTACCAAAGCGCCAGGCACAGGTTCTGGACTTATCCATCCGCCTCACCATGGTCTGCCTAACATGTGAGTAGACGGCAGAGCACAATGTTTTGGTTGCTCTTCTCCTGGGAGCCATTAGGAATCAAGCAGGTGGTAGAAGATAGTCATGAGAACCAGCATTTAGTGAGTACTTACTACATTTCAGGCACTGTGTTAAGGCTTCACAGGAATAACACGTAGAAACCTCAGGGACAAGCCCATTCTTTGACAGATTAGACAGATTTATCAGTGCTCAGCCTGAAGGAGTGGCATGGTTGATAGAATCATAATTATAATGACAAGAACTAGCATTTATTGAATACCAACTGTATGCCAGGCACTGTGCTAAGCTCTTTCTAACACGTGTTTATAGTATTTTATTCAGTTCTCACAGGAATTCTTATGACATAGGGCTATTATAAACCTTACTTTACAAATATGAGGCATTGGTGATTCAGTGGTAGAATTGTTGCCTTCCATGTGGGAGACCCAAGTTCAAGTCCCAGCCAGTGCATCTCATGCACAGCCACCACCCGTCTTTCAGCGGAGACTTGTGTGTTGCTATGATGCTGAACAGGTTTCAGCAGAGCTCCCACACTAAGACCGACTAGGCAGAAAGGCCTGGTGATCTACTTCCGAAAATCAGCCAATGAAAACCCTAGGATCACAGCAGTCCAATCCACAACTGATCCTGGGGATGGCACAGGACCAGGCAGAGTTTTGTTCCATTGTGCATGGGTCACCATGAGTCTGGGGCTGATTTGACAACAGATAACAACCTTACAATGAGGAAACTGAAGCAGGGAACGATTAAGTAATTGGTCAGGAAACGCTGGAGGTGGGATCTGAACCCAAGCCATCTAACTCCAGAGCCAGCACCCTTCACTTCCGGAACAGAGGTTGAAACTGGGTGGTCAGTGAGTCTGATCTGGCAACAGATGTGTTTTACTTGACCCTTACAAAATTTTATAAATCTGGCTCAACATTAAAAATGTGGTGATCTCACATACAAATCCAGATTTTAAATGTTTCTTGGGGAAAAAAATAAAAGGATTTGGTGAGCCTGGGGCCACCTTCCCCAATGTCAACAATCAGCTGGAGCTACTTGCCCTCTGTGCTCACCTTTGACCTCAGCTGGCCCCTCTCATCCCACTCACAACACTCTAGGTTCCGGGCCCCATGGATGGAAGCACCTCTGTCTGCAGATATACTAGCAGAGGCCAAAGGAGATGATAAAAATTCCTGCATTGAGTATGCAGTGGCCCAGCTGTCCCTAAGACTCTTATTTAATTTTATTTTTTTATATTGGTGAAAGAATACACAGCCAAAGTTACACCATTTCTACATGTACAATTTAATGGCATTGGTTACATTCTTCAAGTTGTACTACCATTCTTACTATCCTTTTCCAAATTATTCCACCACTGTTATATTAAATTCACCGCCCCCTAAGCTTCCCATCCAACCTTTCAAGTTGCCGTTGTCAATTTGATCTCATATAGATAAGTCTTTACAAGAGCACAATGCTCTGAACAGATGTACTTTACTAATTAAGATAAGCTATTTTTTGGTTCAAAGAAGAGTTCATGGGATAGTTTTGGTTTAAAGTTTGAAGATTATCTCAGTGCAATAGTTTCAGGGGTTCACCCAGCCTTAATGGCTCCAGAAAGTCTGGAGTACATTGAGAATTTGAAATTTTTTCCTGTAGTTTCCCTCTTTTGACCAGGATTCTTCTACAGAATCTTTGATCAAAAAGCTCAGTAATGGACCCCGAGAGTATGGCCCCCAGACACCCTTTTAGCTCAGTGATGAAGTTATCTCTGAGGTTCACCGTTCAGCCTGGGAATGGACAGCCCCATGAAACCAAATGAGACTAATGAGGTACAGTAGTCCAGAGACAAGGGCCAGAAGGCAGAAGGGGACAAGGAAGCTGGTGATAGGGAACCCAAGGTTGGGTAAGGATATTGTTGATGTGTTGTGAGATTGTTAACCACTGTCATAGGGCAACATTTGTAGTAACTGTTAAATGAGAAACTATTTTGTTCTGTAAGCCTTCATCTTAAGTGAGAATAACAGCACAATTGGAAGAGCGTAGTCAATGTCACTGAACTGTGCATGTAGAAATTTTTGAAATGGTGTATCATTGGCTATGTGTATTTTCACCAAAAAAAAAAGGTTGAGAAGTTAGAGGGTTGACATGTTGTGGGGTTGTTAACCAATGTCATAAAACAATATGTGTACTACTGTTTCATGAGAAACTATTTGCTCTGTAAGCCTTTACCTGAAGTACAATAAAATAAATAAATAAATAAAAAGTTCAGTAATGGTCTCACGGCAAAAGAGGCTGTTGTTCATGGAGGCAGCCAGACACACATTTGATTTCCTCCTCCAATTCCAGACTCTCCTTCTCCTCTGTTGCTTCGGGTGAATGGAGAACAATTTCCGTCCCATGAATGGCCACAAGACCCCAGTCACTATGCAATGAACGAGGAGGTAGAACAGAAGCACTGAGAAACAATATTAGGCCAATTGATTGTGATGTCCCTCAGAACCATGACCCTAAACCTCCAGACCAAGAAAACAAATCCCATGTGGTGTTTGTCCTAAGGCTCTTTATAACTGTGATTCTAAGACTCTCCCTCAGAGAAATTTTTGATTCTTGCTATATTAGACCAGCCCATAGCATTCACTAGACATTGAATTTCTTCTTTTAGAGTGGTTAGTTCCCAATTTGCCTTGGGAGAGTCCAGAGAGATCAAGAAATTTTCCCAAAAGCATGATGATAACAATTCCTTAATATATAATACCATGCATTGTCTCAATCAGTATATATGAGTAAATAAATTGAAGTAACAATAAAGATGACTTTTATGAATGTTTTACATCAATTATCTAGTTTAATACTTAAATGTCATATTTGATATGATTCATAATCCCTAAAAGGATAAATATCATTTATCACTATTTTTCAGGGGAGGAAACAAGCAAAGACAGGGGTTGAGACTTGTCCTGGGCGAAGAAGTCAGAATCCTGACTTCTAGAACCTGTTTTCTCTATATCAAACTCCTCCTTAAAATGAGGCCCAGTGGAGGCTTCTGGGATTTCCTGATGACCAGAAAAATCCTCCATTAAAATAAAAATGTAATAGCCAGGCCAATAAAACATACTTCTAAAAATATATAATTTTAACTTCTCTTTTTCATCTTAGTTTTATTACTACTTAGAAATGACTTCAAAATCTCTAGCATTTAGCTTTTAGTATTTCTTTGTAAAGTGGTTTCTGACATAAATTAAACCCTGCAGAAGACACTCCTTTAAAGAGACCCTGTGATCTTGTTTCAGCTTGATGACCCCTTTGTGCTACAAATAATTTCACAATCTAATTGTTTGCAGGTAAGATGTTCTTGTACTCATGTAAATTAGTCATTAAAATTTTAGCTCTATGAAGGCAGGGTTTTTTTTTTTTTTTTTTGTCTGTTTTGTACATTGATGTATCCTAAATACCTTAAAGAGTTCCCAGCACTCACTAGCCATCAGAGAGATGCAAATCAAAACCATAATGAAATTCCGTAAGAAAACTACTGGGACTAATAGAAAGATTCAGCAGAGTACCAGGGTACAAGATCAACATACAAAAATCAGTTGGATTCCTATACACCAACAAAGAGAACTTTGAAAAGGAAATCAGGAAAACTATGCCACTTATAATAGCCCCTAAAAAGATGAAATACTTAGGGATAACTCTAACCAGGGAAATAAAAGGCCTATGCAAAGAAAACTACAAAACACTACTGCAAGAAACCAAAAGAGACCTACATAAATGGAAAAACATATCACGCTCATGGATAGGAAGACTCAATACTGTGAAAATGTCAATTCTACCCAAAACAATCTACAAATATAATACAATCCTGATCCAAATACCAACAGCATTTTTAAATGAAATGGAAAACCTAACCACCAGCTTTATATAGAAAGGAAAGAGTCCCTGGATAAGCAAAGCATTATTGAAGAAGAGCAACATAGTAAGAGGCCTCACACCATCTGATCTCACAACCTACTGTATAGCCATGGTATGCAAAACAACCTGTTACAGGTACCGTGATAGACACATAGACCAATGGAACAGAATTGAGAACCCAGACCTAAATCCATCCATCTATGGTCAGTTGATCTTTGACAAAGGAATGAATTCCATTAAGTGGGGAAAAGACAGTCTTTTTAACAAGTAGTGCTAGCAAAACTGGATGTACATCTGTAGAAATTTTGCTGAGGATCATTCAAAAGCAGTTGCAGCAGTATATCAACAAGGAACTGCCAGAAATTCAGGCCGGATTCAGAAGAGGATGTGGAAT